ACATTGTAGGCACTTTTTGGCTGTGGACAGGGGTCAGCATGGGCACCCTGAGGCTGCGCAGCCCTATACACAACAAATTGCGATGCGATGCAATGTTCTATAAAGTGCAGCGCTCTCCCTAAACTAATTATATATATAAATATAAAGTGCACACTTGGCTAAAAAGTGCTCTACATAATGACACAAAGTACTAAACATATGTGCAAAAATTGTGCATTTACAAATATGTGCATTGGCAAAAAATTGTGCAACCCGTGTACTTCAAAATGAGAATAAAGTGCAATCAAAACCCTGAACCCTGAGGAAGTCACGTGTTACCGTGACGCAACGCGTCTGAACGCGAGGAGGATTCTTGCGAGGAGGATTCTGGGAGCGCGGTGACGTCATTTCCGGCGTGGCGGCCATATTTGAAACCCCTGTATCTATATACCCACGCAGGAGATTCATAGCATGGGGTATTGAAGGCATGTGAAAAGACGATTTTAAATGTGAGTGGGCAATTTTACTACATATCTACTTACCTAATAAACAGGTTACACTATGTGAGTTTTTGTTTGTATATGAACCGAGGAGGAGATCGCTGTTAGAGTGTAAGAGGCGGGGAAGGTCCTGGTGAGCCATCTAAAGGGTGTCCTGCTGTAAAGCGAGCTGACCCTGTAGGGTCTTGGCAAGGAGGTGAGGGGCCATCACGGATAAAGTTTGGATTCACACAGTGTGGACACGTGTGACACATGCATGAAGACTGTTAGTCCTTTTGTTGCATTTGGACACTTTATCTTACTTTGGATTTATCATTATTTATAACAGATGATTGGAGTGATTTTTATTGCACTTTATTCTCATTTTGATTGCACTTTATTCTCATTTTGAAGTACACGGGTTGCACAATTTTTTGCCAATGCACATATTTGTAAATGCACAATTTTTGCACATATGTTTAGTACTTTGTGTCATTATGTAGAGCACTTTTTAGCCAAGTGTGCACTTTATATTTATATATAATTAGTTTAGGGAGAGCGCTGCACTTTATATTATATGTATTCACTCATCTTGGTAAGGAGTTTTGTGTCAGCTGCTTGGTAAATAGGGCCCATTCTTAGCGCAGGAAGTTCTCGCACTTTGCAATGTTTGTTCTGACACCTTTCTATCAGAACCAGCATTAACTTTTTCAGCAATTTGAGCTAGATTAGTTCTTTCACCCACTTTCAAATGCTACTCTATTGAGATAATGAATGTTATTTATTTTAGCTGTCAGTGGTGATAATGTTATAGCTGGTTGGTGTATTTTCCATCATACTTTTCCTAGATGGTCCATAGATGAGTCATTATTAGATGGTCCATGTGCAGAGCTTATCATTATTACATGTCTACAAGTCTATAGAAAAAGCATACAGGTCATCCTGTAAGATTCCACTATGCTGTAACACAATCTATAAAAATAGAACATTTAGAATAGAGAAGTAATAGCTTGATCCAACTGTATCTTCAGGTAGCCTAATACAGGCATTGACCTTTGTTTCTGTAAGCTCTTTAAACTGGATATATTATGTAAACTAGTCTATTTAATGATAAATGACAGGGATTTACATTGTTTAAAGTGTGTGAGTCATTATTTCGTTTTTTTTTACTATCTAAAGCCCATTCACACTTGAGCTGAGCTTCTTTGGTTGTTTTTCAGCTGTGCTAATTTTTTGGTTTTGTACAGGTGTATTGAGCAAGGTTCAGGCTTGAGCATTTTAATTCTTATTTTTAGCCAATGAAAAGTTAATTACTAGTCAAGAAGACGCACAAAATCGCATATAATGCGATTATATGCCCCCTCCCCTGATTTCTTCATCAAGATCAATAATACATGCATCAGTCCTTCCGCTTATGCCAGGGTACTAGGCGTAATCCTAGACTTCCATCTGTCCTTTCAGCCCCAAATCCAATCACTGTCCAAATCTTGTAGACTTCACCTGCGCAACATCACCAAGATCCGCCCATTCTTAACCTCTGAAACTACTAAGCAACTTATTCACTCCCTGGTTACCTAATCGCAGCCTATCCCCTCTTCAGTCTATCATGAATGTTGCTGCCAGACTCATCCGCCTTACTAACCGTTCTGTATCTGCCAATCCCTCCACTGGCTTCCCATTGCCCAATGACTAAAATTCAAACCATTAACAATAACATATAAAGCCATTTATAACTCTGCCCCGAATTACATCACCAATCTTGTCTCCAAATATCACCCAAACCGTCCTTTCCGCTCCTCCCATGACCTCCTGCTCTCTAGCTCCCTTGTCTCCTCCTGCCATGCTCATCTCCAGGACTTCTCCAGAGCCTCCCCCATGCTCTGGAACTCTCTACCCCAATCTATCAAACTATCGCCTACTCTGCCCACTTTTAGGCGATCTCTGAAAGCCTAACTCTTCAGGGAAGCCTATCCTACTTTCAGCTAATAAAGGAATCTTCTATTCCTCCTACCAGTCCATCCCCCACAGTTATTACCTTTTGTACCACCAGACCCTTCCTCTTAGATTGTAAGCTCCAAGGAGCAGGGCCCACTTAACCCTCTTGTATTGAACTGTATTGTTGCTGTGTTGCCTCCCTTTATATTGTAAAGTGCTGAGCAAACTGTTGGTGCTATATACAGTACATCATGTATAATAATAATAATAATTGGCATTTTTTAGGCACTCCCGTTAAATTGGGACCAAAATGCACAACACTGTCCCAAAAGGAGCTTATATACTTTTTTGTGCAATGAGTCTCAAGCACCATTGAATACAATGCAAATCCTAGTGTCAAGCTTTAAAGAGCTTCTCATGAAGCTTTAAATCGCACTTGAAATCGCATCGCTGTGAATGAGGCCTAATGGTCTGACTATCTGCTACTAAACTGGATGCATATATTTTTTTTTTAAATCTGTTGGATATGTTAGCTAATGTTACTAGTACTGTACATGGAAAATAAAGACACATTTAAAAAAAAAAATGATTTTGGCCTTCTAAAAAAATGTGATGGTTAGTGGGAATAATGTTCCTTATACTTGTGGTCTTTGGAAAGAATTACCCCCTTAGCAAAAAAGATCAGTGGTGTCAGTGGGAACTTATCTGAGAGGCAGAAATTGTTCAATGCTCATGGAACCCCTAGCAACCTCTGGAGGAACCCTAAGGATCCATAGAACCCTGGTTGAGAAACCCTGATGTAAACCATAACAATGAACTTTTATATTTTTTTCCTTTTTGGTGTATTAATTATACCATTGGAAGAGGTTTTTTTTTTTTTTAAACCTGTATAAGTGCAAAAATAAAACAGTTGATCTTGTCAGGAAATCAGGGCTGTCCAGTGTCCTCTGCAAATTTTCCACTGTTATCTTAGAGTTGTGTTAGCTTTGTAGTTGTTATCTTGGACTGTAGAACAATTAGGCTTTATGTTGTAGGGATCTGAGGGTGGAAGTGGTTGGGTAGTTTAGCAAAAGATGCTAGGCTAGGCATTAACAAAATGCTGCATGTTGTCAGACTGAAACCGGACTTCAGAGCTGCTGAGTACATTTATGAGAAATCAGATATTTGTTTGTACCTGTATGCTCTTTAACTGCTTTTCTGCTGCCCTATAGCAGAAATACTGCTACAGGGTGACAGGGGTGTGCAGAATCATGTATATATACGTGAGTTTGCATTTTTGGGTAGGGGGTGCACGCCCTACCCGCGCCGCCATTGGTGGTCTAACCTGTCGATCACTGGGTCTCGGCCGTGATTCCCTGCCAGCACCCGGCGATCGCCATGTATCACCGATGTTATGTAAACAATACAGATCTCTCCCCTGTCAGCTCCTGCACATTGCTTTGTATTGCTCTGCATAACAGAACATTACAAAGCAATGTACTTACACAGTAAAGCACACACAGCACACAGTTAACCCTTTGATCACCCAAGATGTTAACTCCTTCTTGCCCAGTGTCATTAGTACAGTGTTAGGGCTTTTTATTAGCACTGATCACTGTATTGGTGTCACTGGAGATGTCAGTAACAGTCAGTTCCCCCCACGGTAAGAATGCCCGCCACAGTCCCACAGTCCCGCTATAAGTCGCTGATCGCTGCCATTACTAGTATGACAAAAAAAAAAATCCAGTATCTATACCACCATTAGTAGACGCTATAACTTTCACATAAACCAATTAATTTACATGTATTGGGATTTTTTTTTTATTAGCAAAGACATGTAGCAGAATACATTTTGGCCTACATTGATGATGAAATTGGATTTTTTGAATTGGACATGCTTAATAGCAAAAAGTAAAAAAAATATTGTTTTTTCTCAAAATTGTCAGTTTTTTTCTTTTTTATAGCGCAAAAAATAAAAAATGCAGAGGTGATCAAATACCACCAAAAGAAAGCTCTATTTGTGGGGAAAAAAGGACATCAATTTAATTTGAGTGCAGTGTTGCATGACCGCAAAATTGTCAGTTAAAGTAACGCAGAGCTGTATCACAAAAAAAATGCCCTGGTCAGGAAGGGGAGTAAATCCTCTGGATGGCAAGTGGTTAAAGAGCTAAACACAGGGAAATGTATATGTATAGCAGAGATGTACTGCATATGCTATTTGCTGTGTCATTTAGTTCAACTTCCTAACCTACAGCATACCACCCAAGGTTATGTCAAGGCAGAGGCAAAAGAGGTAACTGCCTTGGGCTCAGTGTTGGAGAGGGTTCGGCTGAACAAAAGCCACTTGTACCTCTGCATTGCCCATCCATGTCTTGCACTGTGCAGGACTGAGCTTTCTAACTCACAGCTCTGTTTTGTAGATCACACTGGAAGATTGAGGCTCTCCCTGTGTAACCAGGGACACTGAGCTCTGCTATCAGTTTGACAGTTGCCCCTTCTGTGTCAGGAGCTCTGTGTGCTCGTACATAGCACTACACTGAAAATTACATAGAGACTGCTGTGTTCTCCCTGTATAATCTGCATGATTGAGCTATCAGTTTGACAGCTTGTGTAATGCTTTGCATTGATTAGCCTCCCTGGCGGTATTCCCGAGTGTAGCTCGGGGTAAAGTTTCAGTACCACAAGCGGTAACCCCAAGCTACACTTGGGAATACCATGAGGCGCTGCTCCGCGGATCCCTCAATCACTTACCTTGTCCTGCGCTCCCGCGATGTCCCTCCTGCAGTGTCCCTGGCAATGTATTCCGGCAGATGCCGGCATCTGTCATCTGGGTTCCGTCCCCTGCGAGCGTCGGGGCGCACGGGGACGGAACTGGCGGGAAATTTGAAAATGACAAAAAGTGACATTCACTAAAATCACATAGTAAAACATTCCTGTATCAAACCATTTCACATACATTTTGTCCCTAGTGCTTTGTCCTGTGCCCTGCCTGCATTTTGACTGTTCTTTCTGCCTGGAAACTGAGAAACGTCCATGGCGTCCAAAAAGCATCCCTTCAGGTCAAAAGCGGTATTAGACCAGCTAGAGAACAGCGATAGTAAATCAAAACCACTTGCAGAATTGAGTGATAATGATTCGTGGGGAAATTCGTCATCAGACACTGAAAACAATTTTGCGACTTTGCTCAGTGATGGCAGGGTTTAGATCACAGCTGAATGGTGAAAAGGGTGGAGACATAACACCAGGGCTGGTGTCTAATGGAGCTTTAGCTCTCACCTCTGAAGTGAGCCAGTAGTACCAGGGAACTGTAATGTCCAACAAAGCAAAAAGAAACCTTTTCAAATTGATAGAAGCTGCATGTATATCACAAAGTTTTGATTTAATATGTGTTAAGACTTTTTAAATTGTTCCTTTATGAATCTACATTAGCAGAAACTGGAAACTCTTTAAGCAAACCTGTTGCAAATCTGGACAATTCATACTGGCTAAATGTTGCCAAATGCTTAACTAGATGTTATTTTTAATGACAGATGCATATCAAATGAGTAGTAGGTGCAGTTCTCGGAGAAGCTGAATGTAAAATAAGATCTACTTTTTTTGCAGGGCCCCATTCTCCTCCCGATAAGCCTCTTTACTGGTCTTTAAATGTGATTGGAGGCTTCATAGAACATAACAAGGGGTTGACATGTGTACATAATCCAGCTAGCTACATCGCTGGATTTACAAATCATTTAAAATGTAGTTTTCACTGAAACTAATATGTATTTATGATTACCCACATTCTCAGTTGCCCGGGTTTGTGATAGGTTTACACTAATCCTGTTGAAAGCATATCCAATGTATATGCATCATCACCAGTTCAAGTGTTTGACTCTCAGCCAGAAAGGAAAGTGCAGCTCATCCTCTTTGTCCTCCTCGCCTCTATCATATTTGGAGTTTTTTTTTTGTAAGTAGGTACCTGCTCCTCTTTTCTCATTTCTTGCCTAGGCAAGAATGGCAGGTGCTTGACTGCCCCCCCCCCTTTCCCTATCCCACCTAAAACCTACAGGGAAGTTGCAGGACCAGTCTTACTGCTCTTGCATGTGCACTGTTGGGAGCTGGCTGTGAGACATCAGGAAATCACAGCCTATTACCAAATCCAAGATGGCAGCACATGTGAGCTGAAGCTGAGAGATGAATTGGCAGCATGGAAGACAGACCTGGACTTTTTTGGGATACTTTTAATATTACAACCCAAGTGAAGTTCCTCTTTAATATACTCTGCACTGTATTAAAAGCCATTCTACTAAATATAATATCAGTTCTTCAGTTTTGCAGAAGTTTGATCTTTTTGTGAAAACAAATAATCAATAAATGTTTATACTGTGTGCTTTATATAACATGGTCAAAGAACCTTGACTTCTGATTCAGTTATGTGATCTTGACAACAGATGGTGTAAATCACCATGGTTTAGGACAGACATCCTGGATAGACTCAGATAATGCTATTAGGTTGGATAACATCTGTCAGGATTAGTTGTTGCAATTAGGTCTATTTCTAGAACTAGAAATGCATGTTAGTCTAATAGAGGAAATGCTGTGTAAGCTAGAAAGTAAATAGAAAATTAAGGCTAAAAAATCTATTTTAATTGCAACCTTCTCAGCTGTAGGCCATATCCCTGGAGGTCATGTATTGCGATTTAACATGCACCTTAAATTTAGAGTACTGTGCATAAGTTTTAGGCAGGTGTGAAGAAATGCTTTCAAAAATGTATATTTCAATAGTTTTTTTTATCAGTTTACAAAATGCAAAGTGAGCGAACAGAAGAAAAATCTAAATCAAATCAATATATACTACCTGCTTTAAACTAGCATCAGTTCTTGCACTTATGGACAGCAGAGGGCACATCTGAGTGTAGTGGTTATTAAAAATATTTATTCAAGTAGACAATTGGCAACTTGCACGATATTCTTGACGATAACTGGCATGTAAGTGTAAACACACATATGTCAGCTTCTAGGGGCAAATCTTCTCACAGCAGGACATGCTTCCTCAAAGGAATTCCAGCATCTGGGCTTGTAGTAACATGGATGATTCAGCCTTACACTGGTCTATGAACCTTTCAGCCCCTCCCATCCACTTTTCTTGTGACATAGATCTGTTTGGACCCGGCACCATACTCGCCACTCCTCAATTCTTACACTTGCAAACTTTGTACACTTGCACAAAGTCAGGAATTTTGTAGGATTAGGATCAGGATTATGATTAACCAGTTATGCTAAGCAGGTGCTAATGATCATCCATTTCATGCTGTATGTAGGTTCAAAACTGGGTGAGGAACAGCCAAGCTGAGATTGTAGAAGACAGTTCCATATCACAGGAGGGGTGTCTAAGTAGAAGAGAAGAGGTCTGGGGGATTGTTTGTGCACGAGGGGAGTTCTAGGGGAGTGTCTGAAGAACAGAGAGGATGTCTTGGGGGGGGGGGGGGTCTGAGGAGGAGAGTCACTGGGACACTATTCCTTCCACTGATGCCAACAATGGGGCACAAAGCAGGCTGGGGTTTTAAGATGTGCTGCTCTTGCTCTTATGCAGAAGCACAAAGAAACAGGCAACATTTCAGACAAGGAAACGTAATGCAGCAAATGAAAGACACATCATGCTTACTTCTCTTTGACATAAGAAGATGTCCATGGCAGTGACATCAGCACAGAACTGGTAGAAACCAATGGGACCCAGATACACCTCTCTACTGTCCAGAGAAGTCTGCCAAGAAGTAGTCTCCATGGATGAATTGCAGCCAAAAAGTCATATCTCCAATGTACATCGCTGAGCAAACTTTTTGGCGCTATATAAATACTGTATAATAATAATGTGGAAATATGGCTAAAGGACTCAACAATGCAAAAAACATAGGAACTGAAAAATGGCAGCAGCTCTGGACTGAGGAGTCAAAATTTTAAATATTTTGCTGTAGCAGGAGGCAGTTTTTTTACACCAAAGGGCTGCAGAGTGGTACAATAATGAATGTCTGCAGGCACTCAGTAGGCACAGTGAAGCATGGTGGAGATTCTTTGCAAGTATGGGACTGCAATTTTGCAAATGGAGTTGCAGATTTGGTCAGGATCAATGGTGTCCTCATTGCTGAGAAATACAGGCAGATACTTATCCATCATGCTATACCATCAGGGAGGGGTTTGACTGGCCCTAAATTTATTCTGCAGCAGGACAAGAACTATCTTCAGTGTGAAGAGCAAGCAGTTCCTGGACATGATGGTTTGGCTCCCACAAAGCCCTGATCTCATCATTATCGAGTCTGTCTTGGATTACATGAAGAGACAGAAGGATTTGTGGCAGCCTCCATGCACAGGAGATCTGTGGTTAGATATCCAAGATCTTTTGAACAACCTACCTGCTAAATTCCTTCAAAAACTGTGTGCAAGTGTACCTAGAAGAACTGATGTTGTTTTGAAGGCAAAGGGTAGTCACACCAAATAATCATTTGATTTGGATTAATCTTCTGTGCATTTACTTTCCATATTTTTGTTTGATAAAAATAAACTATTAACACTTCTATTTCTGAAAGCATTCTTTATTTACAGCATTTTTTTACACCTGCCTAAAACATTTGCACTGTAGTGTATGTGCACAGCTATTGAATTTATGTCCTATCTGATTTAGAATTTGTATTCTTTACTAAATATTATTGTGTAAACATGGCATTTTCAATGTCATAATCACCCAGCTGCTTTCACCTACAGTTAGATTGGAGTTCTACTAAATAATATTGTTATTATATAGGATTTATATAGCACAAACAGTGTGCGCAGCACAGTGCAGCATGGGCAAGCTGACAGTGTCTCTTTATGCATTTCTTATTTTTCTTAGTTAATTTCTTCATATTTAGGCTTCATGCACACTGGACATTTTCCTAACTCTCCTAGAATCCATTCCTCCTGGCAGCAGCGTTTTGGCAGAAAAAACTCCTGATATTTGTAAAAAGAACACGTTTACAGGGCAGCGATCAGAAAATTTGAGGCCTCTTAAACAGCTTTAGGCCTGGGCTCCACCGGGCCTGACCACATTTCAGCTGCGATTGTCTCTGTGCAGGAACCATGGCTGAGGCAGGATCCCACTGTACCACTTCCAATGCTGTGCCTACTGGTTTCATTTGGTTCCTCCCCAGCTCCACATTTTAGTGGCAATTGTCTGAGTGCTGGACTGGTGCTTCTACTACTGCCCAGGTTGGAGCTGGAGAATATTGTTATTCATTGCAGGGGCTGAAGGTAGAGAAATGGATGGAAGCAGCTAGGTAAAAGTGTGAGTGCTGGGCCCTTTGGATGTCAGGGCCCCCTACATGTGTATGGGCTGCCCCCCTGATGGCAGCCCTGCTCCTGGGTAGTGGACTGTTCACCCAGTGGTGTTCGAGGAGCTCTGCCAACATTAGGGTACCTGGATGTGGATCATCTGGCACCTAGGTTCATTGCAAAACTGGACAGGGTGGCATCCAGGAAAGGGATCCTTGAGCACTCATGGTGGATGCTCTAGTGACACTGTGGGATCAGTCCTGCCTAGAATATGCCTTTCCACCATTACAACTTCTACTTTGTCTGGCAGATTGACCTGACCTGCTGCCGCAAGCTTCAATCTTCCATCCTTCTCTGCAATGGTTAGCTTTCGACAGCATGGCTGTTACAACTGTTGAAAGCAGGGTCCTAAGGGACAGGGATGTCTCAGATTTAGTTATTCATACTGTGCTTAAGCCTAGGAAGGCATTTTCCAGGAAAATTTAAAATAGGACTTGGAAAGTTTATTTTTCTTGGTTTAAGGTTTGGTTTTCGCCCTCACAGGTATGTGGTTGCTGGTCTTCCTCCAATCGGGGGTAGATTAGAGGCTGGCCTTGTGTATGGTCAAGGGTCAAATTTTGGCCCCAGTGGTTCTTTTTCAGAGACCGATTGCCTCACATTCTTTGGCTTTTGTT